GCATTTTGTAAATTGATAAACATAAACAATTACAATATATATTTTTGAAAGCATTACTTTATAGCATTTTTTCACGGCTGGCTAAAACTTTTGCACAATACTGTATATATAAATCTTTTGTTATTACTAGCTGCCTGGAGCATCACTTTCCATGGTAGGGGGAGGAGAATAATTCTCCTGTAATCTGGGCAGTGACTGTAATAAAAATTACGGTCCTTCATAATTGTCCTGAATATGGCTATGTCCCTGGAAGCAGTCTTTGGAAGAGCAGGTGCTTCAGCTGTAGGTATTCACCACACTAATCCATCCCAACTACATGAATATTTATATAGCCTATCTTATATGCTATTTCACACCAAGAAACAAAGGAGCATTGGTTCTTAATATTTAAGTTGTAAACATGCAAGGCCTATCCATTTTTCTATAATTAACACAAAAAAGTAAGCTTCCTTTAGTCTAAAACAAAATTGGATTAAGTTGCAGTAGCTACTCAAGGTGACTCTTCTCAAGCTTTTATATGAAGCAAAAAGACCGGAAGTTGTAAGGAAATAGAGCAAAGACTGTCGTATAGTCTTTACTTTCTCAAACCTGAACTGTACCTTAATAAACATGTTCCTTTTCCATATTAGAAAACTTAAGTTTATACTCTTGACAGAAATTAAACATTTGTGTAAAAGTTTTATTAAAATGAACATATATATAGATATGAACACTACATTCTGGTTATAGACAAATATATACATTTTACACTGCAGAGAATGATTGTGCAATAATACAGTTAAATGATTTCAATTGTTTTTCACACAATATACAGAATTACAAGTTTATGTATATACCAAAAAGCAAATAACTAAATACAAACCACAACAACCCTTAAAATACCTTGAATTTTTTACCTCAAGCAATTGAAGGGATTTCAGTTCAAACTTTAAATCAACTAGTTTACTATACATGTTAGATTTATCTAAATGTATATTTGACAAAGTTACAAGATGTTTAGACCAGTTCTATCTGAAAAAAAGCATGAATATAATAAAACCCCATTAAAGGGAACTTCAGGTATTTTCCAGCCACCACAGTTATGATGAAGTTCTTACAACATGCTTAAATCTTTCCTATGCATTTCATAAAACTTAAAATTGGCTGGACTATGCCCAACATTTTTGCTGATCTGACTCAGAGGTACAGTTGTCACACTGCAAAATGAATAGCTCCTCCAGCTGGAAAGACTCGGGATTTTTATGTTTCCGTGCAGCACTAGGATATTCTTCCATCTAATTTGACAGGGACCCCTATGCTCAACAGCAGCAAGAATATGTGAACCTCATCACTCTACTCCTAGCATGAAGAGAAATCTGGGGAGTAGAAGTCTAGATATAAGGTACTGTACAGTACAGACATTGTTACTCACAATCTATACACCAATTTTATATAATATGCTGAAGCTTAATTTCCAAGCACATGGAAACCTAAATATTTTACAACTATATGAGCAGACCATCTAGAGTTAAAAACATCTGAATAGAATAAGTGTGCAAAACATTTCACATTGAAAACAGTTCTAGTAAACTCAAAACAACTGTTCTAAATTCAAAATGGTTTGCACATTACTACTGAATAGCAGCAAAAATAACATCCTGTTAATCTTTCAGATATTAGATTACAGTTTAGAATATTAATCATTATGTGAGTATGATGCAACAGACCAGTTTCCAGATATAACATTTCAATTTAAACATATGTTGCAAAATTAAATGCTAAAATAAAGCATTGATTCTGCTCAGATGGCAAACCAAACTATACTCGAGGACAAATAAAATATGTACAGTGGAGGGAAAGCCTAACAAAAATACACCAACATTCAGCAATGATTTAAGTACTATCTTCTAAACCCTGGAGAAAACTTGCCAGTATTGTTAACCAATAGCACAGGAGTTCTAAAATACTCTAAACCCAGAAACAAAGGTTTATGATAGATTTGTGGGCACTAATACTGCAATCCTAAATCACATTATTAATAGTTCCACTAAAATTATTAAAATCAATTTGCATATCTAGGTTTAAATGAATTCCAAAGGCAACAAAAAGAACTTGACAGAGCCAGTTTATATGTTAAAATTTTTCTACCAGTACGGTTAGAAACCAGACAATATTGTGTTTAAAAATTATTTCATTACTTCAGACATGGCTAAATAATAATAATTTTTATTTATGGCCAAAAGACCCAAATGGTCAAATAGCAGATTTTGACATTCAAGCTTAAAATGCATAGTTTGGCCATTTAGGAGCGTTATCACACAGTCTTTAAATCTATAAATAATTGGAAAGATTTCCAACTTAGACACAGTTTTTACAAAGGTGTACACTATTCAAATGAAAACTGGTAAATGAAAAATGGTATGAAATGAAATGTAAGTTTATCCTTATTTAGGCTGAAATACATAGGAGAACCAGGAGCTCTACATCCTATCCCATCTGCCATACCCCTCCCTGACATTGCAGTATTAAGTAGTTAGAACTATAAGGCAGATCTACTTGCATTGAACTGGATTTGAGCAGAACTCTCTGCAGAATCATAGACTGAAAAACTGAGCTCCACAATTCTGCAGACAACTCTATTTGTGTCAGGTGAACTCCCCCATAATCCTTCCACAATTTCTTCATTTCTGAGCACCACATTCCACAAACTTCTCGCACAGAAATAACAATAAGCCATTCTTATCAGCTAGTGCATCCTTAATAGACATTGAAGGCAAATACCTCACATATGCAAAAGTATAGACAAACTATTAGAGAATAACCAAGATTTAAGATTTCTATCCATTTGAATAAAAATGTCCATTTTATTTTATGTTATATAAAAACATAATAGCTTAAACATCTCAGAAATAGTTCACTTTAGTACCCAGAAATCTAAGAGATATTCAGTAAAAATTTAATGTTGATACTTCAAAAGGGAAACAAATGCACGTAACTGATAATCGTTTAAAAAATCACAACTGCTGTAAACCTTTAATTATAATGCGCTATCCAGGAAAGTAGGCAGAGGTTCTAGAAGGTGCTGTAGGCTTGCATGGAATCTGTGCTTTTTTCAGTGTAGATGACTTCATATATCCTGCTAATGATAAGAATTGATCTTGAATTTGCATCTTAAGAAGTTTTCAGAAATTTGAGCAAATTCTGTTTTAATTAAATATATATACCTGTTTACCTGTGTTGTGAGCTGTGTTTTGACTGAGCCCTCTTAAAGGAATGCTATCTTCCCTTTTCTTTAAATACTTTGCTTCCAGTCCCACGTTTTCACCACTAGTCAAAAGAAAATAGAACTGTTGTAAGCAGTTAACTAATTAGAAGGATTTTGCTAAATTTCCCAAATTAAAATTTGTAAGGTTTTCAAATATAATTCCAGATCTCCTATTAATTAATTTCTTTAAAAGACAGTGAGCCCATGAATGCTGACCTCAAAGGGAATGTAGGGGCAAAAATTCCTACATTCAAGGACCAATTCCTTAAGTTTAAGGCAGGTCATATTAATTCTTCAGAAGAGTCTGTCTCTGAAAACTTGGCTTTCCTGCTACTATCAAACAGACTATCTCATCTTCACAAAGTCTCTATCATACCTAACGATCATCATCTTTTGATATGTATCAAAAGGTGGAGAGTGGCAGAGAGCATATGACTTGTCAGATTGATCACAGCACTGATATTCAGCGCACTGTCAAAATTTAAGAGGTCCAATCAAGCAGATTAAGGATCTTAGATATACCTTACGACTGTTCCTATGGCATCTTTGTTATTAGGAGCCATGTTCCATAAAGTAATGACATTCTGCTTAAACTCTGGGGAAATGAAAGATGATCTAGTCCTTGGAAAAATTTAGATCTTTGCTTTTAGATGTTTCTCCACTGATATAATTTTTCCCAAAACTTTCTTACTGTGGGCACCATATGACTTGAATCACTGTTAAAATTAGTCAAGATATGTTCTGTTTGCCTGAAGGGAGACTAACATTTTTCCCCAAGCCATTCTTAAAGAGAAAAGAGGAAGACTAGTTTTTTTCTTGTTTCTGTTTTATCTACTCTGTGCTGGGGTGGGGTATCATCTTAAATTTAGTGTTAATTTCCTTTCAGATATACAGTATATGCTATGCCTTTATAGCTCATGCCGTACTGAATTCAGTCTAATTCTCGGGCTGAATTACAGTAGTTTTCACTGTACCAAGACACTCTGTTTAGCTCCAGGAACAGCAGTCTACCCAGGTGGCAATTACATTCATACTCTTAAGTGTAAGCCTTTACTAGAAACGTCAGTATATTTCATATGACTTCAGAATAAATACGTAAGTAAATATGTTGCCCTTGTTAGAACACACTGAAAATTAGGACATGGCAGAATATGGCTTGCTCTAATTGTGTTTAATTTCCTGTTAGACCTCCCACATTAAGCCAGTCTTCTGGTGGATTTATTTCTTGCCTTGTTGGCTCCCACACTGCCTTAGAATGGGGAAAAGGGAAGTCTGATGTACTGCAACAGGAAGAAGAAACTGTTTTCTTGCATTTAGAATACCCGACTACCTCTAGAAGTCGGACTGGTTGCATTCACTCTACGCACTCCTTCAACCTTTTGGCCTCTCCCCTAGATAGTCCTGCTTTCTCCCAATTCCCAAGTTTGCCTTCCTGTTCAACCCAAAATGGCTTCCCCACCCTTTCTTTAAATGCTCCCAGTTTTCTCAAATCTACTCTTCTCTTGCTCAACTGCTTACTTTTCTTTATTTGTTGAATGACTTATCAACCCAGGAATCCCTGGCTGGGTATCTGAACATCTGTTGGTTTCTGAGAGCTGCACATTGAAGTGAACCTGCTGGAAAAGTTTTTTAAAAGTTTTACATTTTTAATCATTTTATGTATCAAAGCCATACAATATTGCATATAAAACCATCATACAATATTGCGTATAAAAAAAAGCTATCTCTACATATTATTACAGAAATGTTTAATGATTGAACAGTATAAACTGTCAACACATTTATTTAAAGCAGAATTAAATAAGTTTTCTCAGTAGAGTACTAATAGTAATGTATATTAATTGGTCTGACATCATCACTGACATTTGATTTACAGTAAATCATGGCCATAATATTATCTATACGTTTCACTCATGGAACCAGCATGTCTTTTGCATGGCAATGCTATTGGTTTTTGCAAAAATGAATGGCTTTCTCTTAGCATCTACATACTTGCAAAATCACATTTTCACCTGCCTAAAGAAGAGTCCTCTTACCATCAAAAATTTATGATTGATTAATACAATTTTCAGAATACTACTTGAGTTGCACAGTGTTATGTAAATCTCCCACACCCTGCATTTGCCTTTTCATGTGCAAATTATAATCTGATGAGATGGGAGTGAGTGGGGAAGCAACAACCACAGAATTTATTTAATACAACTAGGCCTTCCTCCATGTGAGCCATAGCTTGATTGTTATACCTCTGTCCAGTGGGAGAACTTCAGAATCCAATGACATTTTAATCAGTTGGAATAATATTCTACATTAAATACAGGTGGCCTCATCCTGCCTGCTTTTTCTAAAGCTTGTAAATCACGGCACTCGGTTAGGAAGATTTGGGTTCTTTGGTGGAATTTCTTGTATCTGTTTTATTATATTTTATTGTTGTCTTTTGCTGATTATTTTTATCAGTATATTGATCTGAGTTGTTTTGAGAGGGTGGCTATGTACATAATCTAAATAAATACATAAACATATAAATAAATGTTGAGGCCTTATGAGTTAACTGCATGCATATCAACTAGGGAGATCATTTTGGCCTTAAAACAGCTCTTTTGGCAATTACACCTTGGTTTAACTGGCCATTCAGGTATTCTTACATAAGGAACTGCACAACAAATACTGAATGACACGTGGAACCTTTAGGATTTTGGGATCACTCATCCCTAATTGTTGTATTTTTCCCCACAAAAGGGAGTCACCCAGAGTAGCAGAAGGAGAGAGGAGGGGTTTTTTTTTAGTAGATTAATCAAATGGAAAAGACATGACTCGAAAAGATGCAAATGTAATGGAACGTAATTAAAGATAAACATCTCAAATGCCTTGCCTTTGTTCCTGGTGCTTGTTGGTTGGCATTTTTGACTGCAGCTGCTTCCGGGAAGCTTTGGAAAGCCAGCAAGGGGGAGATGGGATAGTTCAGCCCTGAACTTAAAGATGGAATCCTACTATCAGCCTGTAAAAGAAAACAAATTGCTTCTTACCTTTTACCTTTTAGTCTTTAAGGCAAGCATAGTCAAAGTTCAAACATACTACTATTTATATTGCACTTCATATGTTGCATAGTCTATATTTAATTTGCTTGAAACTAAGGCACTCTGCTTCTGCCAAGACTTGGTTTGAATCCCAGGCTGAAGCATAAGTTTACCATCTATTTACAGGATAATACAGGAAGCAAATAGAGGGAAGCATGCGCACCCCAAGCCTCACCTTTTTATCAGGAGGGGAAGGGAAAATAGCTCAATCCCAAACAGACCCCAAGAACCATCCATTTCTGCAGAATTTATACAAAGTGTGCACTCCCACTGAATTTTGTCTTCTTACTTAGAAATTAAACCACAAAGGACAGCAACTTTGTCAGTATCAAAGATGAATACATATTCATAAGAATTTTACTATTACCATACTATGAGGAGAGCTACCAGTTCTTGAAGCAGTGTTGCTAGAAGTAGATGTTCCTAGTATTTCTTGCTTCCTTGTCATCTGAATTTCATTCAATTGTTTATTTAGCCATGTGATGACTACAAACAAAAAAAATTAAAAAACATTTCATCTTTCAGTTTATTTTTAATTTTAAAACTAAGTCATAATTAAATTCTGAATACTGCTGGATAGATGGTGCTTTGAAAGTTAAACAGAGTTAAAGAGGGCTCACTCCCAAATAAATATTCACAGAATTGCAGCCTTAGTTTTAATATGATTAAGAACTGATAAATCTTGTGTGACAAGATGGAGCTTCTATGTATTATTGTAAGTTAAGGGAAACAGACTAATGGTTGCATTAATACAAAAAAGGAAATGAGTGTCCTATTAGTAAGTGCCAGGTGGGACCAAAGAAGGGAAAATAAGAATGGCATCTATCAAAATCATTCTTCAATATCCCTATCCCCCCAAATCCTCCAAATATATAAAAAAGAATTATTCATCTGTATCTTAAACCAAACATTCACAATTATTGCCTAAAGCATATACATAACAGAGAAAATGCCTAGCCCAAAACCAAGATTGTATCTCCTGATAAATTCTATATATTAAAATATACATTGTTGAAAAGATTAGACAGTAGTTAATGTAAGAAAGTCACATACCATTTTCATTTGTTTTGAGAAGATGTTTGCTTTCTTCCAGCTTTTGTACTGTGGCTTCTAATTGTTCCTGCAATTTGCATACCTGAAATGTTTCCCTGTCATTAGTTATCTGAAATATTTTTATCAATAGCAACAAAATATTTCAAAATTAAAATAACTCCAGAAGACATTTCCCCTAAATTACAAGCATCATTATATAAGTTATTGTTGAAACTGGTAAAATACAAAAATTTAAATAGATAAATAAATAAATCCATAAACATTTATTTTAAAGACTATAAAACAAAAATACTACTTCAGAATATATCTAAGCAGATAGTAGCATCTAACTGACATTATCTGATCCTGAAAAAGGAAAACAAGGTTTGGGTCTTGTTAATTCTTAGATGGGATGCCACTGGGAAACACCAGGACAGTAAATTAGACTGGGAAATAGAAAAAAAAATCCCTCAATCACAGCAAACCATTTTGTTAAGAAACCATTTTTCTCAAAAAACTTATATGGGCATAAGGTGACCAGGAAATGAGTTAAAATTGAGGGAATCTTTACTACATTCCAGATAAGAGTTGATTTATAGGAAAGAATATTTCTGGTGAAAGGAAATCTTAGCATTTGTTTAAGCATTTACTAAATAGAAGAGTCTTAAGTTACCTCTTGTTCTTTTTCTCGAAGAGAACTTTCCAGTTCCTGGAATTCCTTCTGCTCTTTCTGCAGTTTTCCTTCCTTTTCAGCCAAGAGTTTTTCTTGCTGAATTGTTACTGTGTTTTTCAATTTCAACTTACTCATTAAAGTTTTTACATCTCCTTGCAGTTTCTTTATGATCTCATTGGCCTGGAAATAATATTATAGAATACTAAATGATGATCAGATGAAATCAAACAACCATAACCATAAAAGAGAATCATGTCTGAACAAACCTTAAGGAACTCAGTTGATAGAGCTTTCAGTGAGGTTTCTAGCTTTCCTATCTGAAGTTGTTTCTTTTCTGTATTTTCTTCCAGGTTCGCCTTTTAAAGAGTATATAATGTTAGGCAGATTATGTCAAAAACAAAAAAAGTCAAAATCTGCATGGATTGGTTTCAAAATAAACAAGGAACTAGCAGTTCTGCAAACCCTATCATGTGGTCTGTAAAACCAGTAACACATTGAAAGTTTAATGTGTTATTAAACATCTGTAAAAATGTTTAATGTGGCAGTATGTTCTATAATCTACAATTTTGGGGGGGGAGAGAAGATGGAGCATGCAATGTGCTTGAACTTTCTAAACATAGCCAAATCATAGAGAACCATATTACTAGTTTAGCAAATCAGCTTCAAATTGTCAAAATTTATGTTCTGTGTCACACTAAAATAAGCTACTTTCAAAATATTAAAAAACAAATTAAAACAGATTATGATGCAACAAAGATTCTATTTTTCACATAATGTAAACCTTATAGGTAATGCTCTTTGCTCCAGAGCTGAAATCAAAAAGATGTCTCCTTAAACAAGCTATGTTTTTCACTAGGTTTGTAAGGTAGCCACACAACCCCAGGAAAATACATTTGAGTTAAGGAGGCAGAGTATGACAAGCTGCTTTAGAATGGCTGTGAATACTCAGCTGCCTCCTCCTGGAATCATGAAGCTACCTAACTTTTTAAAACAGGTACTGACAGGTGTAACTTGCATGCTCAGTGCAGTCTGTTAGTTTCAGATCTGAAGTGCAGCACATCCCTAGTCACATGCAGTCAACCAAATACATAAAGTAACACTTTAGATCATAATGAACTTTAATTACTACATTTATTAAAATGGTACTAGAGGGAAAAAAGCTAAGAACCTTTTGTTCTTGTGTTGCTGCCAATACTTCTTTTGTCCTAGCAACAAGCTGGTCCTTGTCTTTGATCTCTTGCTCTAAAACAGCAACGCGCATCTGCAGTTGATTAACTTGCTTCTCCTTTTCATGGCATTCAGCATCTAAGGTAGCATTCTCCCGACGTAGGGACAGAACTTCTTGCTTTGTTCTCTGGCATTCCTTATTGATTGAAAAAATTAAAGCATTCTAAAAGATTTTAAAGATTTAAGCTTGATTTAAAAAATAAATACATTCTGCAACAATTGTTTAGATCACATAACCGTATTATATTCACCTGTTATAATGGAGAATATTTGCTATGTTTTCAGTTGCTTATAATGTATACAACTAGAAATTATAAGTAATGCGAATCAGACACAAATAGCCAAATATTACATACATCTTCTATGCCAGACAATTTTGCTTTAAGTTCCCTGACGGTGGAATCGCCTTTGTATCTCCTTTCCATTAAGTCTTTGTTAGCAAGTTCCAACTCTTTCAGCCTGGTCTGCAGTTGCTGGACAGTTTTCTGATGCAAGTTTTCCAGGTCTCTTTTCTGTTGTTCATTCTGTTGCTGATAGTGTGCTTGTGCCTACAAAAAACAGAAAGTGCTTTAATAATTCTTAAATATAAAAGGAATCATTTGTTTTATACACTGTATTCTTTAGATACCTGTAGAGTTTTCTCCTTCTCATTTGACAATTCCTGAGTATGCTTGCTGTTCAATGATGCTATCTTGGAGGCCCATTCACTTCTTAAGTTGTCTAGTTCCCTGCTCTTTTCTGACAAGCTCTAAAAGAAAAAATATAATCACTAGGCTTTCATCTAATCCAAGAAATTTAATTCTAACATGCTTTATTAAAGGACTCCAGTCAGAATGTCTTAAAACATATAGCAATATAACAATTGTTCTGTATGCCACTCTCAGAAAAATGCTTTGCTCTTATCTTCACAATCCTATATAAATCTATTTTATTTTCTTTAAAAAGAGGTTTGTAGCACATTAAGACATGAGTTTCCTCTAATGAATTAGGCTTTCACCTACCTAGGTTCATGATACAGTTAATTTGTTATTCTTCAAGGTATAATAATACTTTGCTAATTTTACCACAACTGTGTGACTACTATTATGGTAAGTTTTTTTTTTATTTCTACATAGACGTTCAGTAATATGTTTTTCCATTAGCTTTATATTTAAACACTCTTGATAAAACATAGTTAAAATAGCTAAATATATTTATATCAGTTTTCTATAAATTGGGGCATACTCTTTGCTCTTACCTGCTGAGTATAATTCAGCTGTCTTGTAAGGTCCTCCTCTGTTCTGCTAAGTTTTTGTTCTAGCAATAACTTTTCGTCCTATAAACAATTGAAAGTTTCTCAGTCAATATGTTTTTAGTCTACAAAGTGATGAATTGCAATTAGTAGGAAATACATTCTCCTGGACATTGGAGGACTTTCTTCTCAGTCAATTTGCATAGGATTGTACTATAAGGTTGCCTTATTCAGCACATCAGTTGCAAGCATATTTCTACTACATGAGTTACAAAGGCCATTTGGTTGTTTTTCTAAATATTGTTAGCATATTATTTCTAAACTATGACAGTGAAACCTCATTTAGACTTAGTACATCACTGCAGATAGTGCATTCTTTGATTTAATGGAGTCATAAATAAGACATCCCCTACCTTTCAAATGGTCTGTTAAATTAAGATTTCACTGTACTGCCATCATTCAATTCTAAAAATATAAAGAATCTTAAAGCAAGTACATCAGTCAGCCTTAAACTCAGTAGTATGTGCCATTTAACTTAATCTTTTACTTTTCTTAATGTCCAAAAATAATTAATATTGCCCCCCCCCAAAAAAGGCAAAGCCTAACTCTACATTATATAACTGAAACTATCATTTTACCTTAGCACATTTGAGGCAGGATGCCAAAAATTTCTTGATTTCAGCATCATTTCCTGGTAAGAATTTTAGTGATAAATGGGTAAGATGTTTAAATGGGTTTGTCTCAACCACATTTAGAAATGAAGGTGTGTGATCTAAACTAGATCCTGAAGAAACCAGCTGTAGCAAAAACCTAAAAAGAAAAGATATCACATATAACAAAATCCTGAAAGGTTTTAAGAAGAAACAAAAATGCACATTCTTCTCCTAGGAACACTGACCATAGCATGAGGGGGGAAAAGAGAACAAAGATTCATGAGATGAGACAACAGTGTCCTACATTACAACAGGTTCTTTGACTGTAATGAAAAAGGAACTGAAGAAATAAATACAGTAGAACTATTGCAGCATTTTGTCTCATAGACTGGAATTGGGAAGGGGCTTCCTCTTACACACTGGAAAGAAAAGTAAAAACTGATTTTATACGCCTTGACTATCATGATGAATGAGATCAGCATCCCATTTCAGAATGATTTAGAGGCTTTCTAAGATCTATTACCTGCTTAAAGCAGGGACAGAGAATCTCCAGGAGTCTCATTCTCAAGCTCCACCTACTTTAGTCTGCTGATGCATATAGGTGGTCCTCGTTTAATGACCACTCGTTCAGTGACCATTTGAATTTATGATGGTGCTGAGTAGTAATTCTGACCAGTCCTCATACTTATGTCAGTCGCAGTGTTCCCATGATCATGTAATCACAATCTAGGTGCTTGGCGCCCAGCTCACAATTACAACATTGCAGCGCCCCAGTGTCACATGATTGCCATTTGCAACCTTCTTTGCCAGCTTCCTACAAGGAAATAGGGAAGCTGGCAGGAGGTCGCAAATGGCAACCACGATATCCTTGCTTAACGACCCGCAGTGATTCTCTTAACGATGGCAACTGGAATTTCCATCGCTAAGCAGCATGGTTATGTGACATCATGCTTTATGACGTTGCTTAGTAACAGAAATTCCAGTTGCAATGAGCATCATTAAGTGAGAATTACCAGTATGTGAAAGTTACCCTCTCAGAACCCTGCCTCCTCAAACAAGGCAGGGTCACTTATGATCCCTATGGAAGAATGGGAAATCTTTGATCATTAACATTTTTAGTAGCCTCAAGCCCTTTTCAGTGCACTGCTAAAACTCAACACTATGGTTTCTTGTGATTTTTAGCCAACTGCCACCACCCCTGGGCCTCTACTTCAGCCCCAGTGCCACCGGCACTGCCACTGCCACTGAGTGCAGCCTCAAGCCCCACACCACAGCCAGCCATCCCAGCACCACAGTATGAAGCCCCAGCTGCTGCCACCCCAGCACCACAATGCAAAGCCCCAGCTGCTGCTGCCCTAGCACAATGCAAAGCCGCAGCTGCAGCCTCCCCAGCCCCAGCCGTCCCGTGGTGCAAAGCCCCAGCTGTTGACGCCCTAGCCACCACCACCCCAGCACCATGAAGCCCCAGCTGCCACCGCCTCAGCAGGTTTTGGCTGCCCTGCACAGTGGCACTCCTCGGTAGTGGAAGCAGTACCAGCAGCATTGGGGCTGAGGTAGAGGCCCAGGGCCTTTAGCAGCCTGCCACCGCCACTCCCGGGCCTCTACTTCAGCCCTAGCATTGCTGGCGCTGCCTCTGCTGGCCCTGCTGCCAAGGAGTGCTGCCACATGTCTCATGCAGTGGCCAGCCTTCCCACTGCCACAGTGTGAAGCCCCAGCCGCTGCCACAAAGCCCCAGCCACCCCAGCACTACAGTGTGAAGCTCCAGCCACCCCAAAGGCAGCTGCCCCCACCACCCTGCACTCTGCTGCCCCCAGCTGCCCCTTACTGTCTTCTTCTGCTGCCAAGGCATGCCCAGCCTGGCCCTTCGTGAGGCAGCTGTGGCCTTGGGAAGGCCTTGCGAGACCTCAGGAAGGCCGCACGTGGCCAGCACCTGCATCGCAAAGGGCCAGGCTCAGTGTGCCTCATCAGCAGTAGGAGGAAGACAGCGAAGGTCAGCTGGGAGTGGCAGGCACAGTGGAACACAGGGCAACCAAAAGGGCAGAGATGGGGGGAGACAGGCAGGTTGAAGAAAGTTAAAGCACACCCTGTGGTCGTAAATGCCAAGTGCCTGAATTTTGAGCATGTGACTGCAGGGACATTGTAATGGTTGTGACTTTCAGGACCGGGTGTAAGTACCATTCATTCAGCACTGTCATAACTTCAAAAGGTTGCTGAATGAATGGTTGTTAAGCGAGGACTATCTGTAAAGATAGAGCTAGTACTCCTGGTTGTGCTTCTTGTCTGGACTACCTCACAGGGCTAACATCCAGCCCCTAAAAAAATAATAAGGGCAGCTCTGAGCCATTAAATGTTCTAGAAGCAAACAAAGGCAAACAATCCTACTCTCTTTTTCTTAATTTTATTTTTAGTTTCTTGAACTTGATATTCTAAAGAAATGATAGATTGATTTACAAATGTTATTTGTATTCTTTAATTTGAAGATAGTATAAAGTACTGTTTATGTATTACTAACCTTGGGATTTCTTTATCTTGTTCTTGGATACAGTGCTGAAGAAGATCTATAAATCTCTGAGGAAAAGCAGAAAAATCTACCAGAAGACTTTGCTGGAGTTTTAAACTACACAGAAAAGAAGAAAAAATTAAATACACCTACCAATATAATGTGTGCTTAGCTAATCTTCAAGACATTTCTTTCAAAAACTAAGAATTCTAAGGTGTTTGGCTGAAAAAAATTACAGAACAATTTTCTTACCACCTTTTGGAATGTTAGCACAATTTACCTGACATTTCAGTTAATCACTTATTACTGCAGTTATACTCATTACCCATTCTAGCATTACATTTAATTTTTAGCCCAGTAGTTCTCATCTAACTCCTAGAACATGATTCTGAAGTAAGGGGGTCTTTCTCCTCAAAATGTTGAAAGTCTAAATCAGTGTTTTTCAAACTTGGCAACGTTAAGATGTGTGGACTTCAATTCCCAGAATTCTCCAGCCAGAATGCTGGCTGGGGAATTCTGGGAGTTGAAGTCCACACATCTTAAGGTTGCCAAGTTTGAAAAACACTGATTTAGACTTTCAACATTTTGAGGAGAGAGACCCCCTTACTTCAGAATCATGTTCTAGGAGAACTTGGCAACGTTAAGATGTGTGGACTTCAATTCCCAGAATTCTCCAGCCAGAATGCTGGCTGGGGAATTCTGGGAGTTGAAGTCCACACATCTTAAGGTTGCCAAGTTTGAAAAACACTGGTCTAAATGGATCCTTATACATTTATAGTCTAAGGCGGGTGTTCATAATTTATGCAAAAAGAAAACAAAACTAAAAACATCAAACATCAGCGATATTGTTTCAATATAAGTACTGAATTAATACTTCATATAATCTTAATTCTATAGAGATTAATTTGGTTGTTCTTGTAGTAGGACTATTGTATTTATTTATTTATATTTCAAATTTGTCACCACCCATCTTACTGCAGAGCGACTCTGGGCAGTTTACAGTAAAAAGAATAAATATTAAAATAGAATAAATATGAATTAAAATACATTAGAAGAAGACTTCCTATATAAATAATAAATATCTTCCGAGAAGTTATTAGGCTCAGGGAGCACCTTCAAAGTGCTAGCCACCCCCAGGGTTGGTTATATCCCTTCTTGACCCACGCAAGTTGGCAGAGCCAGGTCTTGAAGGCCAGGAGAATGGGGGCCACCTCACCTCTGGGGAAGAGTATGCCATAGGGCGGGAGCAATGGCAGAGAAGGCTCTCCTCCTGGGCCCCGCCAGCTGACATTCTTTCATAGACGGGGTCCATAACATATCTCCTCTGCCTGACCAGGTGGGACAGATCAACATAATGAGGATGAGACGGTCCCTTAGGTAACCTGGTCTCATGCCATATAGGGCTTTAAAGGTGATAACCAACACCTTGAATTGGACCCAGAAGCAAACTGGCACCCAATGCAGTTCCCGCAGCAGTGTTATATATGCCATCCTTGGGGCACCCAAGATTGCCCGCATGGCCGCATTTTGTACCAGCTGTAGCTTCTGGATACTCTTCAAGGGTAGCCCCATGTAGAGCACATTGCAATAGTCTATATGGGAGATGACTAGGGCATGAGTGACTGACCGGATATTATAATAAATAATATTATAATTATAAATATTATAATTAAAAATATTATACCAATATTTTTATTACTAAATGCTTGATAGTATACTTAAAATGTAAATCTATAAAAATCAGAATATTCATGAAAATTTACCTTTGAAAATCTTCCTCAGAAATAACAAGATTATATAGGAAAAAGGGATCTGAATCTTCAGTTAGCCGAACAACTAAATCCTATAGGTAGAGTGTGTGAAAGAATTTAAAAAGTTAAGAAATTTATTTCTCTCGAGTAATTCTTTCAGTGACAGCCTAGTCATATGGTTCATAAAGTGCTGAAAGCTTCTATGCAACATACGAATCCTCTGAGCAGCACAAAGCAATAACAGAAATATCAAGTCTGAGGGCAATGCTCATTCCCAAACATTTCAAAAGAGAAGTTTGACTGCAGAGTCTATCCAAATCAGCCTTTAAAGTGAAGGTGAAGTGATGGAAGCCTCCCATCTGATCCATCAACTTCTTCTGTAAGGCCCTGTCCATTTTTCTTGGTCCTTTCCCTTCTGCAGGGCCTTTTCCAGAGTTCAAAGCTGAAGCAGGCTTGTCATTACTGTAACTTTGATCCTTAGTGAGCAAATAACATGCAGATGTTTAGTTTCCAATTTTATGGATTTTTAAGTGAATTGTTTTATTGGCATTTTTGGTAGAGTACAGGTGTAGAATGAGGTCTGGGAGCTTTTGATCCAGATTCCACTCTTTTACCAACTATTAAAAAAACCCTTTGGGGTACCACGTTTGGGTGTGTTGAAAAAGGGAGCTAACTGATGTATCGGTGTGAAAGGTGAGTGAGAAGAGGCATAGCCTTAGGACTGGTAGGGCAACCAAAAATACTGAACAGTTCCAGGGCAAGCAAACACATTGAAGATCTCCAGGGTGCCATCCGAAAGAGAAGAATGGCTCAGCAAGACCCTGGCAAGGAAGAGTGGTGCAGGAGATGCAAATGCCAAGTAACAATTTGACATCAGCATCCTTGAAGAGGACTAGCATTAGAGGGAGATGATGAAACAGCAGCATTAGGAGTTGGCAGCCCAAGAAGGCTGGGGAATAGAGGCCTTGAGAGCAACACCAGTTGTAGGGCCTCAGAGAAGCCTAGCCACAACACCAGTCCAACAACCACATTCCCCTCACCAAGGGTGGCAGTTCCCGCAGCATAGCTGTAGCTAGTTTGCCAGTGAAAGGCCTAGCAAGGGTCAGAAACGGTAGAGCTCTAATGACATCACACAGTCTAGGCTAAAACATTCATGGTTTGAAAAGGAGGAGGGTTACTTAACCTACAAACAGATTTGGGGGGGGGGTGCCTTCAAGTCTGTTTTGACTCCTGTCAGCTGCCTGGACAAGTCCCTACAGTTTTCTTGGCAAGATTTCAGAAGTGTTTTGCCATTGCCTCCTTCCTAGGGCTGAGAGAGAGTGACTGGTCCAAGGTCACCCTGCTGGCTTCGTGCCTAAGACAGGACTAGAACTCATAGTCTCCCAGTTTTTAGCCTGGTGCATAAAACACAGATAACAGATACAGCAGAAGAAATAAGGTATTTGTATAGAAATAAAACATAGATGTAAACATAAGAAATAAGGCATAGATACAGAAACATAGGAATAAGATACCTAGAAATAGTAAGCACAATGACAACAATAAGTACACACACTTCCAGTAGTAAATATTTTTGTATAATAAATCTTCCTCTACAATAAAGGGAAATAAAATTCACCTCTGCTCTGTGGTCTGCACCATTCCTCAAAAGAACCTATAGCAGTAGGATTGCTATGAACAAATATTATTTTTTCCGATCAGCTAAGAAATCCAGAGAAAATGTATGTGGTAGTTAACTAACTCTTTCAACTATCCTCACTTCTTATACTGGTTATCACTTTTTCTATTATACATTTATCACATTTATATCTTATCTATTCCCCAAGAGTTCAAGGGTGAATAAACAGGGATCTAATTTTATAATCAAAACAACATGTGAGGTAGGTTAAGCTGAGAGAATGATTGGCCTAAATTAACTAGTGAGTCCTTGGTGGAGTGGGAACTTAAACCTGTGTCTCTCTTGTGCGGGTTCAACACCTTAGCTATTACACTGTGCTAGCTCTCAGCTTGTTATGAATCCACAATAAATCACAATGAAGTGCAAAATTTGTCATTCTGGAAACAGAACATTCTAGAGAACTCTGAAACATTCTGTTTCTCTCAGGACCACGCCAAGCCTCTTCCCCGACTATGTTATTCCCAGGCAGGCTCAACAATTTCCGGAAGTAAATCCTACAAACCAGAATGTCAAGGTTTTGGCACTTGCTTCAAAGTATTTCTTTCAAGCAAGTTTCTCTTTTAACAAGAGTTATTAAAATGAGTTACAAGAATTTCAGCATTTGAATTATTATCCATTTAGAACCACTTCATTCCATCATTACATTATGGTGGAGACTTTTTCAGTTTCTTTCTAATGACCTTTCTGTGAGCCAGCAAGATTGTTTTTACTGACAATGGAGAAATCTGCAGCTGGCTGCTTAAAGACTGAAAGTTTATCAGTCTGTGAAACAGACAAATTACATGGAAGCAGTCTGAGATGTTCCAGAGGGAGTGTGTACCCCAAAACAGGCCTCTTTCATGCAGAATACCCATCACTTGAACATCTTGAATTGTTCCCCAGAATAGCATGATCCAGGAGGAGGTTTCAGCATGATCCAGAAGAAAACAATATTCCAGAATTTTCTGGAATATTCTGTTCACAGTTCAACATATTTTGTACATTCTTATTAGATAATGAGAAAAGAAAACACAGCTTTCTCAGACAATACCAAGACACAAAACGGGTAAATACATGGGAAGGGAATACATATGAAAAGTTGGTCATGATGGGGAGGCTGAGATGGGAAGGCAAATTAACATGCACAAATGTGGAAGGGGGTTGAATGAAGGGTAGAAAAGAGACTGAATGAATGCAGGATTATTTGGAGATATGTGATTTGATTAGGATGGCCCCACTTGGTCTCAACTTTGCCATGTAGCTATCATGGAATATCACTTCCAGGTTTACAAAGCTCCTTGCTCTGTTCTATAGTGATGAAATATTATTGTTCATCACAATGCTTATTTTGATAAATTATCAATAAGATCTATTGTTAATGAAGGCATATGCTGGGCCAGATGCTACGCCAGAGCTAGCCAATAAAATTCTAAGCAGGATCATTTATTTTAACAACTGAAAGCATAATGCATAATGAAGGAGATACAAACCTTTCTATGAATGGGATTTGTCGTTGATTGTAATTCAACGCTCACTCGGACATTTATTCGCCTGCAAAATACATAAAACTGCACTTAAAATATTGATATAACTAAAAGCAATTCATTCTTCAATTTACAAATGAAAGATGTTGCATTTTAATTCAAGTAAAGGTGATCCATTACACTACTTTGCTAAAAAATGTCATAAAGTCAATCAAACCATGATTGTCATAAAATCAATCAAAACTCATCCCTGCTAATCTTCCGGAAAGCCCTTAAAACATGGTTTTTCCAACAACCTTGGGGATCCCATGCGGAGCCTGTGAGATGGCTTTCTTGTGCTTAGATGGTTGTATTCTCTTGCAATCTTGGTTTATTATTTTTAATTTTTTACAAGTAGACCTCGACTTACGACCATTTGTTTAGTGACCGTTCAAAGTTACTACAGTGCTGAAAAAAGTGACTTATGACCAATCCTTGCACTTATCACCACTGCAGCATCCCTGAGGTCACATGATCAAAATTTGGGTGCTTGGCAACTGGCATGTATTTATGATGGTTGCAGCGTCCCGGGGTCCTGTGATCACCATTTGCAACCTTCACAGCTGGCTTCTGCCAAGCAAAATCAATGGGAAACCACGTGTTTCAGTTAACAGCCATGTGATTCGTGTAATGACTATGAGATTTACTTAACCACATGATTCACTTAATGACTCCAATGATTCACTTAATGACCACCACAAAAATGTCGTAAAATCAGGTGGAGTCATGTGATGCCTCATGTAATGACCACACCACTTAATAATGAATGTGGTCTTAAGTCAAGGACTACCAGTATTATTATTATAACATCTTTTTATTGGTTGTTATATTGTTTTAATTGTTGTTAGTTATTTGCCACCCAGAGACACATTTCAGTGAGATGGGCGGATATATAATTTGCTAAATAAATAAACAAACCAAATATGATTCTACATATCACTATGTTAATCACCACTCATGCCAGTCATTTTTATTAATGCAGCTTAATAACTTGACATTACTTTGTATGAATAACAATATTCAAACAAATATTATGACATGAAAATAGTACCATTCATGCACAAGGAAGACAAATATTAAGGAAGCCCCGTAGGTTTGCAAGAAGTGGAGAATAAAATCCCTCAGAGAAAAGGCCAAAAGCCCAGTGAAAGCTGAGCATGGAAAGTTGGGGTCAGAATATTCCAGGCAACCATTAATTGTATACACAATCTTATGCCTTTTATCACAGATTCCAAAGACATGTAGTTAGTTCTGAACAGAATGTGTAAGACTGCACAGCCCTACACAGTCTGAAACTACAATATATAATAATAAACTTCTCCCATACTCAAGGTGGTGAAGAAAGCCTGGATTTACCATTCTTAATTGACATTAATTTTATGAAAAGATAAGAGAAATTATTAGCTGATGATATATAATCAGAGCCCTGCAAAGATGGGTATATAACATACAGCATCAGGTGAGAACTACACTTTCCAAACTATTTTTTTACATTTTATGATGGTTCTCTTCCTTTCTCCAGGGCAGGTTTCAGTTGTTGTTTGGGAGGAGAGATCACTCCCTAGGCCCCTCTTGTGTGGGTTGTTGCGGAGTTCTACTCTCTCTTCTCTCCTTTTCAACCACTGAGTGAGGTCATCTGCCAGTTTGGGGTTCAGTATCATCAGTATGCTGACAATAATACCCAATGATATCTTTCGACTCCAGGGCAACCAAACGAGACTGTCAAGGTTCTGTCCCAGTGCCTGTGCGGGTATGGATGGGGAGGAACTGTCTTCTACTCAGTCCTACCAAGACCAAGTGGCTGTGGGTATGAACTGCCCAGATCTAGGGATAGTCCATCTTTATCCTTGGATGGGGTAGCACTTCCCCTTTCAAGGGTGGTACATAATCTGGGGGTCTTTTTGGACTTGCAGGTCCTGCTTCAAGACCAGGTGCCACCTGCATCCAGGAAGGCCTTTGCACAACTCCATCTGGTGCACCAGTTGTGCTCTTTCCTAGATCGGGCGGGCTGTCCTTCAGACAGTTACTCATGCCCTAGTCACCTCACAGCTTGACTACTGCTATGGTCTGACCCTAGTCACATGGGGCTGCTCTTGAAGACTGCCCGGAATCTTCAACTGGCCCAGAATACATTGGTATGCCCATGTAAGACCTCTGCTTCATGAGCTGCACCGGTTGCCAGTTTGCTTCCAGGTGCAATTCAAGGGGCTAGTTGTTACCTATAAAGCTCTACATGGTACAAGGCCTGGTTACTTGAGGATCCACCTGTCTCCCATAACATTTGCCCAGCCAATTCAATCCTGCAGGATTGGCACACTCCAGGTTTCTTCGATTAAACAATGTCATCTCTTAGGATACCAGAAGCATGCCTTCTCTGTAGCAGCACCTGCCCTCTGTAATGAGGTTCTCCCCAAGATCTGCATGGCGCCCACTCTGTTGTTGTTTGGAAGAGCCATGAAGACTGACTCTTCACCCAGGCCTTTGGCAAGGGAAAGTGAGACCCCTCACTTCATTGCACTTGCTATCTTTTTTTCTTTATTTTGTATGTTTTACTGAAATTTGTTTGATTGTTGTGAGCTGCACAGAATCATTGAGACTTGGGCGGCATACAAGTTTAATAAATTATTATTAATTGATAATATCCCTGATCCCGTTATTCCTATAACTACACTAAAACTGTGGGAAAATACCATTTATTATCCTTTAAACACCATAAGTAAAGTTTGCTAAATTAGGGCTACTAGATCTGGGCTGCAAAAATCCAGACAACCATTAGATGACAGCAATAAGAACTCTATTGGTTGTCTGGATTTTTGCAGCCCAGATCCAGGGGCTCTAACTAAACAATTCACAGCAAGAAATCATGAGCAGATGTTAAAGAGTTCCCCCTCCCCTTTGTTTCCTGACATCCTTCCAAAAGTTTAACAGCTACACAACAGGCAGATACTGATAGGTAACAACTCTGAGAGCCCCTCTGCTCAATTTCTATCTGTCATTCAACTGTGGAAGCTCCCCCAGGGAAAAAAAAGGGGACCGAGGTATGCTCAAAATACCTGAAAACATCTAGTAGATAGACAGACAGATATAGATGCTTATTATATATACACATAGCATTAATCATAGGTAATCAGAGTGTATGTTAGAAAAGAAGCAGCCATAGTACTGTATCTATCAACTGAACATAACTGGATAGTACAATATGTACATTTCCAGAATCACCTCGATAGCCTATTGAATCAAGCAAAGCACGCAATACACACCCTCAAGCTTGCAACAGTTGAAAAGCTTGACAGGGTCATTGATCACTCCCAGTGGCTGCAGCCTGAGAGAAATCTGTTCAGCGTTTAATTCATCACTGTTGTTTTTTTCAGGAGCATTGTGAGGGGGATTATAGAAGCGGTCTTGTTCCAAAAACCTATAGCTTTCTAGCGTTTTTGTTTTGAAAGCTTTCGGGCAAAAAATGCGGGGGGGTGGGGATGAAAGAAGCGGCGGCCACTCCCGCCGAGGAGGTGCGC